CTCTCTCTCTCTCTCTCTCTCTCTCTCTCTCTCTCTCTCTCTCTCTCTCTCTCTCTCTCTCTCTCTCTCTCTCTCTCCCCCACGTCTTCCCTCTTGACACCTGAAGACCGCCACTGTGCCTTGCTGTTCATCCTAGCCCCAGCCAGCTAGCTGGGCTATGGCACTGACTACAGCAGCACCCTCACTTACACGACCGCACATGCGTTGCACCTTGCTCTAGTGCTAGCAGCAGCCTGCGAGCGTCTGCTCCAGCAGTGTTGCCGCAAACTAGCAAGTGCCCAAATGCCAGTCCAGGCAGCGAGCTCTTTCCTATATGGAAAGAGTCTGGCCTGGCCTGAGGCCTGGCTGGGCTGTTCCTGCAGGCAGAAGCTTCAGGTAGGTCCCAGGTAGCTGGGCCTCTGCTGCTGCTGGGCCTTGTTCGGTTACGCCTCCCAACTGCCTGTGTATATTGCTCCAGATGTGGCCCAGGGCCTGCTTTTCAGAAAAGGCCAAGAAGGCCATGGAAGGTTTTGCTGCTCTTGGCCTGGACCCCAAATACGAAATTGACAGCAATGGGCCTTTCGTGATTTGTCAGGCCCACCTTCACTTAGGGCGGGCACAGTTGAAAAAGGGGCCCCCTTAGGCCTGCCGAGGAGCCAAATCTTCGCATTCCCTCCTTTACTTCGATAGTCCTCTAAGAAGTCCTTCAATCTGCAGGCATCTTCACCTTGAGTCCTCTTTCATATCTTGCAATCACTTGGGGAGCTGTTTGCTGGAGTTCTTCTCTAGTAAACCACCGATCTTCACTTGGATCAGTATGGTGTCTGAATCTGACACGGTACTGTATCCTTGGGTTTGGAGGTCAGCCTCTGCCGGGAGGTTTAAGAACAAGCATCATTCTGTGCTCCATGATGTCGTCGATGTCGACTTCGCCATCCATGGTTGGGTGCAGCATTGATCGTCTGGAAGGGACCTGGGCCGTTTCTGCGAAAGGGGCCAGCTTGGAGGCGTGAAAGATTGGGTGTGTGCGTAAGTGAGCAGGGATGTGAATTACATAGTAGGGTCCGTCTATCTGATCCCCGACTATATCTAGGACCTCCCATGGACCGAAATACTGGGGCATTAGTTTTCGTGAGATTCCCAACTCTTGACCCAGTTCAAATGACCTGACCCATACTTGCTCTCCTACGTGAAACTCGGATGGCCGTCTGTGCTTGTTCTCAGATGCCACCATAGCATCTTGAGCTTTCTTAATGTGTTCTACAGCCTGTTGCAGCATCTGTTCATACTTGACAGCAAACTCTATGCTGCCAGGTGCTGCAGATGGCTAATTTTCAGGTAGTAGAAAATCTAGGGCGGATCTGGGCTTCCAACCAAGATGCAGTTGGTTGGGAGTCATGCCAGTAGTGCTATGCACAACATTTTTGTACAGGCTGGTGACGAGGGGTAACTTCTCGTCCCAGTCATCCTGACTTGGCTTAATGTAATGCCGAAGCAGGTGCTGACTACTCCGTTCATCTGTTCAGCCTGGCCATTTGACTCAGGGTGGTTCCCTAATGCCATTTGCAATCGGGTGCCCATCTGTTTGGTTGTGGATTGCCACAGTTCACTAGTGAATCTCACATCCCTATCGCTTACAATAGACGTAGGGAGACCAAAATTGAGTACCCAGTTGTCTAGAAATAGCTTGATGCCGTAGTCAGTTTGAGCAGTCTCAGACATGGGGATTTATCTGGCATACTTGGTAAATATGTCTACGATGACAAAGATGTGTTTTTTCCCGCTCTTGCTGGTCACAAGAGTATCTATGAAATCCATGGACACACTCTCACCGGGACCAGGAGGAATAGGCAAGGGCTTGCGCAGCCCAAGCGGTGCCTGTGTCCTAGGCTTGTCACGTTGACAAACCTGGCAAGTCTCTACATACTTTTTGACATCATTCATCATTGTGGGCCACCAAAATTTTTGTACCAAGTTAGCTGAAGTCTTTTTAAATCCAAAATGATCTGCTGCGTCATGATACTCACCTCAAAATAAACTATGTAAAGACTCCCTATTAGGCATACAAAGTTTTTTGTTCCCTGGCTTCTCAAGGAACAACAGCCCTTCAAACAGTACAAACTCGTCGGAACTGTTTTTATCTTTCGCTTCCTGTTTGCGAATGATTTCAGAGAAAACTGCGTCCTCTTGATAGGCTTCCATCAAAGATCGAGTTACATCTTCAGATATCTCAAACTCAGTCACTAGCACGCCCAGATAATCTGCCCTACGCGATAATGCATCAGCCACTTTATTGTACTCTAATCCAGCGCAAAGTCTCATGGTCAGATCTTACATAGAAGAATTTGCCACGGAGATAATGTCTCCAGTGGACCAGCGCTCGGTAGAGGGCATAAAGCTCACGCTCGTATGTGGACTTTAACTAACTTCTCATATGACATCTTCTGACTTATGTACTCGATGGGCCTCAATTCTTTTCCCTCCTTTTGCACAAGGACCCCGCCTATGCCGTATTGGCTGGTGTCAGTGGTCACAACAAAGGGTTGTTCAGGATCTGGCGGTCTTGAAGGTTGCCTCACACTCTTTTGTCCACTCCCAAGGGGTGTTGAGGTGTGTGAGGTCAGTCAACGAAGAGGCTATAGTGTTGCAATTCTTTACAAACGGTCTATAATAGCCTTTCATCCCCAAGAATGACCTCACCTAAGTCAGAGAATGAGGTTTGGGTCAGTCCGTATGCTGGCCACCTTAGCATCGTTCGACCTCAAACCATCCGCGAAAATCTCATGATCCAAGTACAAGATCTTGGTGCGACCAAACTCACATTTCTCCAAGTTAACCTTGTACTGGTGCTGTCTTCGGAGACCTAGCACTATTTCCATGTGCTCAAGGTGCTCCACTACAGTCTTACCAAAGATAAGAATATCGTCGAGGTACACAACGATAAACTGGTCTAAGTATTCATGAAAAATCTGGTTCATTGCGTGTTGGAAAGTCCCAGGAGCATTGCATAGGCCAAAGGACGTCACCACAAACTCGTACAAACCGTACCTGGTCTGGAATGCGGTTTTGTGCAGGTCCTCAGGTCTAATGGCAATCTGATGTTATCCAGACTTCAGATCTATCTTTGTGAAGTATCGACATCCCTGCACTCTATCCAAGAGGTCATCGATGCGGGGTAGGGGTTCCGCATTCTTAACGGTGATGGCATTGAGGCCACTGTAATCAATGCACATCCTTAAGGTACCCCCCTTCTTGGGAACGAATAGGACAGGTGAACCATAAGGGGAGACCGCGATAGGAAGGTGATGATTCACAAGGTAGTCAATGGAAGGACCGTTAGACTGCAGAGGTGGAGAACTATGGGTGCATGTGTGCATCTTCTTTCTATAACTACTATAAACAGAATCGCGAGGAGGGCATGTACCTAGTCTTTGTCTCTGAGAAAGGGGAGGTCGTAAAATCACCCCCAGAGATAGAAGCAGTCATTGCACAATATCCAGACCTTTTTTAGCCTGGTGGTGTGGTAGAAAGGGAGGTTGTCCATGCGATAGAAGTAGTCCCTGGTAGTAAAGTACCTAAAGGACGGATCTATAGGATGTCTCTTGCGGAGTTGGATGAGCTCTGCCGCCAGCTCAAAGAGCTCACAGAGAAGGGATGGATTCAGCCTAGTACCTGAGGTGACTGGTTGCGATAAGGAGGGAGATCAGGATTTGTGGATGATTGGAAAGTAGTGCTCACCTGAGATTGACGTTGATACCGTGCGTTGTTGTTTGTCTTCATTGTGTCCATGAGATGACAGTGTCACGTGGCACTTTTGTGTGATCAGGACTGGTCAGACGTGTTACTGTATATTGATTGACAATGTGGATTCGAGGGGAAGCCAAGAGAAGCAGTCGGTGATATTTGGGCTACTGTTTTGTTGTCACTGAATACCTCTTTTACCCTCTCGTCTGTCTATTCCCCCTCCACTCTCTTCGTCTAATGGTAACGGGATATTGTATCAGATATCACTTCCACGATTACTGGAGACATTGTGCAGATCTGAGTCTACTTGTACTTCAAAGTCTAATGAATATCTTCCACGCTGGGTTCATTACAGGTGCTCCTATGGGGATGAATTGCTAAATGGGGGTAGGGGGTAGTAGAGGCGGTACGGCACATAGGTGGTTGTTTGCTTTTTTTTTGTTTTTCGCCTATTGAAAATATGTGCTTCTATGGGGATGCATTGGTTAATAGGGTAGGGGCCCTAGGGGGGTAATAGGGGCAGCAGGGCACATAGGTGGTTTCAATATTCAAAAAATAATGATGGTTTCCACGGTAAATGGTGAACTCTTTTTTTTTTTTTTTCCCTACTGAAAAGAAGTGCTCCTATGGGGATGAATTGGCAAATGGGGGTAGGAGGTAGTAGGGGCGGTATGACACATACCTATTGAAAAGATGTGCTCCTATAGGATTTCATTGGTTATTTGGGGTAGGGGCCCTTGGGGAGTACTAAGGGCGGCAGGGCACATAGGTGGTTCGTTGTCTTGGAAGTAATGTTGTGGAAACGCGGTAAATAGCTAGGCTACCAGAGTGGCCCGGTTCCACTTGGCCGGCTGGGCCGAAATGAAATAAAAAAATAAAAAAATAAAAATGATTTTTTAATTAGAAAATTTAACGTAGATTTGGTAAAGAATTTCGATGTGACCCTGAGGCAAAAGTTGTTGTATTTATTTTCCTACATAACATAGTTTGTTTTAACTTTTTTTCGGATTTTTTGGATTTCGTTTTTTTTTTTTTTTGCCTAGGACCTTCCCTGGTCCTGCCGTGCTGCACGGGAAAATAGGGTGACCCGGGCGGCCCGGCTGGTAGCCTAGGTAAATAGTGGGCTGTTTTTTTTTTTTTTTTTTTTTTTTTTTTTTTTCCGCTATTGAGAAGAGGTGCTCCTATGGGGATGAATTGCTAAATGGGGGCAGGGGGTAGTAGACGCAGTACGACACACAGGTGGGTGTTTTTTTTTTTTTTTTACGTATTGAAAAGATGTGCTCCGATGCGGATGCATTGGTTAATGGGGGTAGGGGCCCTTGGGGGGTACTAGGGGCAGTAGGGCATATAGGTGGTTTCGGTGTTTAGGAAATAATGATGTGGAAACGCGGTAAATGGTGAACTGTTCTGTTTTTTTTTCCTTTCCCCTATTGAAAAGAGGTGCTCCTATGGGGATGAATTGGTAAATAGGGGTAGGGGGTAGTAGGGACGATACGGCACATGGGTGGGTGTTTGCTTTTTTTCTTTTTTAAACCTATTGCAAAGATGTGCTCCTATGGGATTGCATTGGTTATTAGGGGTAGGGGCCCCAAGGGGTACTAGGGACGGCAAGGCACATAGGTGGTTTCGTTGTCTAGGAAATAATGACGTGGAAACGCGGTTCATGGTGAACTGTTTGTTTGTTTGTTTTTTCTTTCCCTATTGAAAAGAGGTGCTCCTATGGGGATGAATTGGTAAATGGGGGTAGGGGGTAGTAGGGGCGGTACGGCACACAGGTGGGTGTTTTTTTTTGTTTTTTTTTTACCTATTGAATAGATGTGCTCCTATGGGATGCATTGGTTATTTGGGATATGGGCCCTAGGGGGCTACTAGGGGCGGCGTGGCACATAGGTGGTTTCGTTGTCTAGGAAATAATGATGTAAACGCGGTGAATGGTGAACTTTTTTTTTTGTTTCCCTATTGAAAAGAGGTGCACCTATGAGGATGAATTGGTAAATGGGGCTAGGGGGTTAGTAGGGGTGGTACGGCACATGGGTGGGTGTTTGCCTTTTTTTTTTTTTTACCTATTCGAAAGATGTGCTCCTATGGGATTGCATTGGTTAATAGGGGCCCCAGGGGTGTACTAGGGGCGGCAAGGCACATATGTGGTTTCGTTGTCTAGGAAATAATGATGTGGAAACGTGGTAAATGGTGAACTGTTATTTTTTTTTTTCCCCCTAGTGAAAAGAGGTGCTCTATGGGGATGAATTGGTAAATGGGGCTAGGGGGTAGTAGGGGCGGTACGACACATAGGTGGGTGTATTTTTTTTTTATTTTTTTTTTAGCTATTGAAAAGATGTGCTCCTTTGGGATTGCATTGGTTATTTGGGGTAGGGGCACTAGGGGGGTACTAGGGGCGGCAGGGCACATAGGTGGTTTCATTGTCTATGAAATAATGATGTGGAAACGCAGTAAATAGTGAAATGTTTTTTTTTTTTTTCTCTCTCGAGTAAAAAAAGGTGCTTCTATGAGGATGAATTGGTAAATGGGGGTAGGGGCCCTAGGGGGTACTAGGGACGGTAGGGCACATAGGTGGGATTGAGGGCAAGAAAGTGTAGGTATGGAAAATGCAGCACCTGGTTGGTTGTTTTGTTTTTATCGGTTTTTGTTTTGCCATTGTCGTTTCATGCTTTGTCCTTGTCATTCAGTTCCTCTGCTTCACCGTCGGTTCATCCGTTGAGATTCACTGCCGCCATTCATGACACAAACACGCTTCGTGACGGCATCCTGTCATAGTCTGCGGTTCGACATCATGACGAGGCGGAGTGATAAAGAACATGTTGCCCCGACCCCGACCGCGATGACAAACGAAAGTGATTCAAGAAAGGGACACAACACAAAGATGTTCGAGTTTCCATTCAAGATTGATCCGGTTGTTGATGCGAAACGCGACGACCCTGTGTGGCGTTTTGTTGCACGTGGCCGATACTTGCACGATTATACGACATTGGGGAGGAAGAGTGGTCGTCGATGTGTGCGCAGATTGCATGGGAAATCTATTTGTGGTGGAAGTAGAGATGCGAAGGAATATTTCTTAAAGAGCAAGGAGTTCAAATGCCCGACGAGGACTCCTGCCGTGTGTTATACCATTTGGGCGAAGAACATGGACAAGTGTTCGAAAGAGTTCGTTGCCTCGATTGAGGAGTTGAAGAGGTTTCCTCCCGGCCACCCATGCTTCCAGTGGCCACCACTTTCATTCCCAGTGGACTCGGAGCCTCGGCGGTCGCTCGATGGTGGGGCACGGGTGGTTGTCACACCGTCTCGCGGTGCAGTCGGCACACCTGTTGTGCCACCTGCGGCGGCGGCATCATCTGATGGAGTACTCCCGTCGGCGGTCCTTGGAGGGACCGCAGTGCAAGCGGTCGCGACAACGATACCACCAGCAACGGCATCTGATGCGTTGGCATCCGCTATTGCATATGCCGAGGGCGAGGGCACTACACGTACCACTGCATCGCTGAAGCGCTAGATGGTTTAAAGGTCGGCGCGTGATGGTGTTTTTGATGGGCTCGACATATGTCAGTTCGTCGACGCATGGGGCAGAAACCTGGACACTTCGGCTGGCTTGCATCCTATGTTCACGAATGTTGCGGCGAGAGCTTCAAGTCCAGCGGGAGCTCCTCTTACGGCTATTCGCGGCACAGCCGCGGCACGCATGGTCTCCTTCTCGTCCTCCACATCCAGTTGCCCCTCTACCAGTGGCCAACTCGCTTCCACCATCGTCCCAGGCGACAAAGGGCGCCCCCCCCCCCTCCACCACTGCCCGTCTCTGATTCTTTGCCCACTCCCGCGATCGAGACTGCCCCCGCATTCAATGGTGTTATTGGGCTACACAAAATTCCACTCCCACATGACGCTACACCAGCGAGTCCAGCTGGTTTGTTTGACGCCTGTGGATGTGACGTGATTGCATAAGGGAGGGGCGCATACAAGCAGCAGACAGTCATTTCATATTATGCCGACCCGAGGGAGCATGCATGGCGCACGACGATTATGCGGTTCATCGTGGAGAGTGGCATGCCATTCCACTGCGTGAAGCTTGAGAGCTTCAGACAAATGTTTACAGTCATTATTCCTCCTGGGGTCCCAGGGGCTCCCATGCCCAAACCACCGACTTATCACATGGTCCGCACGACATTCTTGGATGAGCTAGATGCTGATGTCCAGCGGCATGTGAAGCCGGTGCTCGAGACTTCGCGTCAGAGTGGTTGTATTGTCATGACAGATGGATGGACGAACATCCTTGGTCAAACATTGTGCAACTACATTGTCGGTACTGAAAGGGGACCCGCGTATCTTACCACAGATGTTATGCGTGGGAGGAACGATGCTGCAGCGTTGGTGAAGGCATGGTTGCAAAGGTTGAAGACCATCGATATCCAACTCAGCGACATCACGGCGTTCGTCACGATTCTGCGAGTGTGATCGTGTCCTCCATGAAGATATTCCAAAAGGACGAAAGCGTCAAACATGTTTTCTAGATTCCGTGCGCGGCACACGTCATGGACCTCATCCTGGAGGACGTTGGGTCAATTGGTTGGGTTGCATCACGCATTGCTCAGGCGCGGCTTGTCACCAAGTTCTTCAAGCGCCAGAGTCACGCAGGCGAGGCTTTGGAGGCGAAAACCAAGTTGAAGTTGTTTTTGCCCGCGGAGACACGTTTTGGCACAAGTGTTATTATGATTCGGAGACTGTTGGAGTTGCAAACCCATCTCGTGCAGGTCATTACCGGGGACTCGTGGCGCAACACTATTTGGGCCACGTGAAAGGTCGGACAGAACGCCGCCGAGATCATTGCATGTGCGGGGCCTCCTCCATGGTGGTAGGAGTTAAGACGATTGTTGTGGATTATGGAGCCTGTGATGGAGATGTTGCAAATGCTGGATGGTGACACACGACAGATCAACAAGGTTCTACGTCGGTATGAGATTATAATCGCATCTCGTCTTGCCGCGTGCGACTCCCTCAATATGACTGAGCAGGATGAGATCCTTGAGGTTTTCGACAGGCGGCGCACCATGTTTCATACTCCGACCCACATAGCAGCCATGATGCTGGATCCCAAGTTTCGGGATCCCACCCTAGCTATGACGACGTGATGCAGGAGGGGTTCATTGTCGCTTTGGTTCAGTTTGGCTACCCTGAGGGATCTCTACAGCACAAAGAGGTGCTCACTGTGATCGACAAGTTTCATGCCAGGGAGAAGTCTTTCGAAAGTGCGACCATGGATAGAGCCATGACACCGCATACTTCGCCATGAGGATTTTGCGCATTTGGGCGACAGCGTCGCCTTGTGAGAGAGCTTGGTCCTGTTGGAGTTTCATCCGCTCTAAGACTCAGACGGGCCGAGAAACTCGTGCGGTGTCACTGAAACCTCTGTCTCCTTGATCGTCCGTCTTTGACCGAGGACGCTCCTCACGATAGGCCCGATACATTCGAGAAGTGGGTACATTATTGGCATCATTTGGAGGACGAGTTGCCCACCGACCAGCATCTCGTCGCGGGGAGTGGAACGAGATTGGCAGCTACACACGAGGAGATGTGTGTGGTGAGGAAGCGCATGCGGAACGTTTCTCGCATGGGCTCCGAGCGCCGCCTTATCTAACCGGACAAGAGACGACGTGGACGCGTAGGGGCTCGTGGCGGGCGTGGTGGGCGTGACGAGCGTTCGGGTCGTGGACGAGGTGAGCACAAGGGATGTGGACGGGGTTTCGCGGCCGGGATATGTCCTCGTGGTGTGCATTCTGTGAGCCGTGATCAGACGACGGTCGACCTTGTTCGTCTCCCTCGAAAGTATTGGGACGAGGAAAATTTTTTGTATCATAACTCCTCTAGCGACGAGGATTTCTTCTATACCGCTATAGCGACAACAGGGGACGACGACGGCAGGCCAGGCGACGACCGTTGTGACGATGACGATGATGACGGTGATGATGGAGCGGGCGACGGTCGTGGCCCCCGATCGTTGATACGAGGCGGCGGGAGAGGAGTTGTTGCACCGCGAGAGGCAGCTGGTGATGGTGGAGAAGGAGACAGTGTCGAGTGTGAAGGTGATCCATGTGGCGAGGACCCCGGAGCAGTAGTCGAGGAGATGCGTGACGATGCAACTATGAACATCGAGCACCATACGACCGTGGACGGTGTCGACGACAGAGGAAGCAAGGACGAACACGATAGTCCCCCGCGTGGCCGGGGAATTGACCTCCGACGCTTGCAACAGGGGCCTAAGAGGACGAGTTCTATTGCCGATCGCGTGCGGCGACGCCACGAGACCCTTTCCCTCAGTGTTCCTCCACGACCCGTGGAGGCGCCAATTGTCCATGTCTTTGAGGACTCCATGAGTGATGGGATAGGCGAGGAGCGACACCCGTCACCTGGCGGCTCTGCACGAGAGGCACGTCCGGTTCATGATGGCGTAGAGGACGGTGTCAGGCGCATCGGTCCGGCACCGCACGCGGCAGCGTGGGACCCTCTCGGCCGCATCACGCAGGAGTTGGACCAACCTCGTCACGAAAGCGCAAATGGAGCTTCCTTAGGCCGCTCCGGCCGAGTGCGCCAGCCATACCTCTCGCGAGCCCCTACGACAGGATAAGACCTACACGAGGCACAACTTACCTCCACCTTACGGGAGTTGTCACCTCCCTTCGGTGGGCGTATCCCCGCCGAGTTACCAGTCCACAGTACGAAAGCTACTCGGTTACAATCGCAGAGGTGGACCAGCCGAGGGCGTTTCTCGTTCGCTGTAGCATAGGGGGTACGCGCGGTAATACGCCTATCGGGCCCGCACGTGAACCGACATCTTGGGGGGATGAAGTCCCAAGCGCGGCCCGACGTCGGTCGACTAGGACGCATTCCACACACCACGCGCACACCACTTTACGAACACAAAAATAAAACCCACACACGCACGTACAACACGATACAACACAAACAACGCGACAACGCTCCTAGTCCCTCGATAGTCAACGCATAACTTTCCGATGCGGAAATCGATTAGGCGTCGCGCGCGAGACTCGGTATAAAACCGCGCGGACGCAGGGCTAACTCATGTCGACTCGCAATGCAAGCGTACGCAAACGGTCGCAGTGATGGCGTACTACGTAATACCCATACTCATGCGGTTCTCATTAATCTCGAGGGTCGCATTCGACACTCAAGTGTCGGCTGACACGCGCCTTGAGGCTTAATCTCTCGACGCTGGACAACCATCATGCGCGGATGAAGATCACACACCCTCTTCTGCACTCTATGCACAGTGGGTGGTATACAGGTCTATACCTGTGGTAGCAGTCGCTTCTTACTGCCCTGGAGATGTGTCCCACTCCGGGCCTGGGCGAAAGTCGAGGGGTTTGACTTTGACGGCTGCCACGGACTACAACGTCTAACCATACAAACTTTAAAAATCAAGGGTAAAAAGTGAACCTCCCTTCCCTCTCGAGACATAATCCAGTTAACCCTTATTCACATTCACAGTAGGCCCCTCAAATACTCAGGGTACTTATAAATACGTAAGGGTTGATTATATAGGACGATCACTTCTCACAGTCACAGTGAGGCTCCTCTCAGCCATATATGTATGAATTCGTAGGCAATCACATCCAGAGTCCGAACCACAACCATACCTGCAATCACATCAAAGATTCAACCAGAAGTCCACGCACTACGCGGGGTCAACTTCAACCATTCCTCACACTCATACCCCTCGCTTTAACCATACAAGCCTCACTCGTGCAACTCTTAAATAAATATTCAGTACTTTTGTTGGATGACCATTCAATAAAGTCCGGGTAAAAACACAACAAAACAGTTCAATCACAAGGCTAAAGCCTTTAGGTTGAGTGGCAGGAGTGAATTGGAGTTGAATCGTAAACCGACGAATCGGCAACCGACCTGTTATCAGTGATATTCAAGCTGAATGTAGTCCAAATCCTGAATCGAACGGTCAAGAGGACCTGTAACACATGACTGTCAATCCCCAGGCTAAAGTCATAAGTGCATGGAGAATAATCCGCATATCACGATCTTACTCAAACCATCTGCCAACTAGGTCTAAGCCTACCTCTAAGCCAGTGTCGTGAAGCAAAGATAGACCCTGACACAATCTCCCTTATTCAGGGTGGATCGCCAGAATCGCCACCTGTCAAAATATAATCTATCTTCTTTAAACTTAGAAAATTTCGGCAGCGCTTCCCGTAGGAAAAGTGTCTTTTCAGAATTTATATCAGCCTGAATGTGAAACCAGAAATAGTCTTCGATTTTTCAAAGTCCAATTTTGTCTAACTCCCTGATTTAGCAAAAATTTGGGCAGCACTCCCTTTAGAAAAGAATACTTGTCAGATTTTAACTAACTCCTTGGATTTGCAGAAAATTTCGGCAGTGCTTCCCGTAGAGAAAGTAGCTTACTAAAATTTATACAAAGCCAAGTATAATAAAAAACCCCAGAAAATGCGAGAATGAATCTAAGTAAAAAAACTTAGCTCAGAAAATGCAAAAATTGAACTAACTCCTATCGCTCTAGCACGTGGCGAGCCTCTAAAGCAACTACCTGTCAAACTGAGACTCAGACCAAGTAGTAGCCTCACTCAATCACATGCAGGCCAAACCACAAAGGTAAGTACTCTCACCATCCCCAAGCCAACTTGGCAGACAATAGTTCGTAATCTCTCGATGCTTTATTCCCTTATACCCAACTTACATAGGCCATAAAGTCGAGTCGTCCAATCTTATGGAACCTGCCTGACTCAGCCATTGAGTATACACGAACAGGTTGCACAACTACTTTTCTCTTCCTTTTGGGCATATGACTAAGCCGTTCATCTTAGAACAAGGCTCAGCCGCCCCGAACTTTTTAATATCCAAATTATATATACCTCTTTGAGCTTGGTGTTCAAAAGTTGGGCATAAGACTGAGCCGTTCATCTTAGAACAAGGCCCAGCCTGCCCAGGGTTATCTTCATTTTTCTACTCTTAGTTATACTCTCTTCATTCCATGACAAGCTATAGTCAGGCCGTCCAATCTTATGGAACGAATGCCTGACTAGCCTGTTCATAAATAACATATAATAAAATATAACCAAAATTTAACCTTTTGGGCTCCAGCATGTGCGAGGCATTGGGCCAGACCGTCCAATCTTATGGAACACATCTGGTCCTTGCCATGTTCATTTCTCTCTGATCCCACTGTGTGCGGCATGAGTCCAAGGCCGTCCAATCTTATGGACATGCCCTGCCCTCAGCAAGAATTAATTCCTCAGAATGAAACAGGAAGGGGCTGAGCCGTCCAATCTTATGGACTTGCTCAGACCTCCTCGACCAAAAACAAAAGAAACAGAACAAAACCCCAACCAAACATGACAACCAAACCCTCCGCCACAGTCAAACCCTCACAGTTTAGAGCAATCAGACCGTCCAATCTTATGGAATTGGTCTGACTCTCCATGCAATTCAAAAATAAACACAACGGTCAGACCGTCCAATCTTATGGAAAATGCCTGACCCCATAGGACCCTGTCAGTCTCAGGCAAAACCACCTTTCTCCCACCGTTCACCCAGATGCAACCCCCTTTTCTTGAGCAAGTCTGCTTTCAGGCAATCAGAATTGAAACTGAGATTCCTCAAACATTCCTTTATTTAGTCTGAGTTGTATCTTGTCAGTCAAATCAAAGTCAAAATAGAGGTGCATACAACATACTCAGTCAAACATAGCAAAACGTACAAGTGGGTGTTATACCTGGGTATATAGAGGGGAAGCAATGGTTACCTTTCAGTTCCCTGCCTCCAGAACTCCTCCTGAGTTCCACCAGGGCTCCCGCAATTGGTGGGGCGAACCTCCCACAGAGGCCTTGGCGCAGATTACGGGTTGCAATCCCGTCTGCCGCCTTCCCCTCAAAACCAACAGACTAGACTTAGAGAAAGAAGGGTAGAAGGAGAAGGTTTGAGTCTCTCAGATCCAAGAGAGGTGCACTCAGACTCACAGGAGAGGGCCTGGATACCTTGAAGCGCCTGAGGGCCCTGCAATGATGGCCAGATCATAACAGCTTAGTCAAACTGAAGTCAAACCGCCGGCTATTAGCCCCCTGACGATCCGCTAAATCGCAGAAGTAACCCCCCTTCGCAAGTCCGGTCACGCTGTCGCGCATCGGCCCTCGTGTGAAAACGAGGGCCCTCCCGGCCATGTCACGCAGGAGTTTTTAAACTAAAACATAACTTAAGAGACAACTCAGGAAACGACGCATAACATTCCGCATGTCGTCGAAACGGGTGCGGTCGCGTCGTCCCTTCGCCGCTCTGGCCGGGTGCGCCAGCTATACTTCCCGCGGTCCCCTACGACAGGACAGGTTCCCGCGGGGCATAAGCTTGCTTCCCTAAGGGGCTGTCACCACCCTTAGGGGCGTATCTCTACCGAGCTACCGACCCACATGCGAAAGTTTTTAAATGCAGTCGCAGAGGTAGGTCAGCCGAGGGCGTTTGCTCGTTCGCTGTAGTATAGATACGCTTGGTTAACGCCAAGCGGACCCAAACGTCGTCCGTTCCTAGGGCGCTGATCTCCTAAGTACGAAGCGTATGCCGGTCGACTAGGACGGTCTCAACCAATCGTGAAACCCAAATAGTTATCCTAGTCCCTTAGACATATAGCCAAAGAGAATTATAACATTCACAAACAATTACATCAAAAGAAGTCGACTGTAGTCGACTTGAATATATATCCCATCGAAATGATAATTGAAAGAAACAATTTATCATTCAATAACACAAGATCATAATAAAATCCGACCACCGCGGGTCGCACGCCATAAAACAATCAAACAACCGCCAACAATGAGTTGACTACTGATAATAACCTCACTGCAACCGACAAGGTAGTCAGTCGCCTTAGTTTTGACTTGATGAGACTTGCCGCCAAAGTCATTCATTCTGACCTACCGCCGACCTAAGACTAGGCATACATTCTCATTTTTACTCATTCTCAATTTTCTTCGATGACGAATGATTCTTGATCAGGGTTATTGTTTGAAGTGTTAGATGTCTCTCCCTCTAGGAAGTGGTCTGGGGTACTCCTCCTCCTCGCCCGAGCACAAGACTCGGATCTCAGAAGTCGGGCCGTCTCCACCGAACCGGCAAAGTACCCCCCCGTAGAAACGGTCCACTCTGGGTCGATAACAGGGCCAACTCCTAAAGCAACGAATCCCCGCCCCACATGTTTCCTGGAGAAAGAGAATGTGTTCACCCCAAGTAGGTTTTAACTATTCTCGTTTTCTAAACTCAAGGTAATTTGGACAGAAAGAGTCAGAGGTGATAGAGAATGAGAACCACTTAGACATGTATAGGTAGATAGGGTTATTCGAGATAAAACGGGTTTCCTTGGGAAGAGTTAAATTCGTTATACTTTGATTCTCTTTCTGTTATCAACATTTATTTTCTCATGGCACCCATCGATTATCCTTCAAAAATAGCAAGCAAGTTCACTCAACTCACTGACGAACGGAAAAAGATAAGGGTCAAACTCTCCTTCATTTTGTCAAATAGCATTTTCGTCTTTTTACTCACCTGCACACCACGCACACAATACGATCAAAAGAAGACAAGCAAAATCCCACTACTCACGTCAGACCCACCTTTTCACTCATGCATGACGCCCACAACCCCACTCAACCTTTCTCCTCAACAT